GAATGCTGCAGAACTACCACCTCTCTCTCTCTCTCTCTCTCTCTCTCTCTCTCTCTCTCTCTCCCTCTCCCTTCCTCTCTCCCTCTCCCTCTCCCTTCCTCTCTCTAAAATCAATAAAAACATCTCTTTAAAAACACACACACTCAAGCTGGGTTCTGAGTGTTTACATGTGGGGATAAGAAATGGGAAAGAAAAAGCAGCCGGAGCAGCAGCCGAAAAGCTAGATGCCTACCCTGACTTGCTGTGGTGTGGCTCTTGCTCTGAAGCCACTTGCTAGTTCCTCCTGCTTTCCAATTGTGCTAAGCCCGTTTGAGTATTGGAAAGGACTTTTGTTTGGCTACTAGACGAAACGGGCTTAGCACAAAAGGTGTAACCATCATCCCTGACTGACTAGTTTTATACCAAGTATTGGCTTCGGGGAGGTGCAAACAAGGGATATCAGGAGAAAGAGAAAGCCTCTATTTCTCTGACATTATTAAAAATGCCTATTATTATTTTAAAATTATTAAAAATCTAATTGCCTGTTGGATTGCATGATTTGCCATAGGCTGCATGTTTTCATAGTTAGTACTGACAAATGCTAAGCCCGTTTATATCTATGTGATGATGAACCAGCTAGTGCTATGAACAGGAAGTAGTCAACGTTCTGAGACTTATGAAATAGAAAGTGAAAGCAAAAATAAATCCCCCTCCATTCAAATCGGCAACAACGTGGCTTAAGGTAACCTTTAACATTTCTCTTGAATTTGTCTTTAAATCAGAATTTTTCAGTGAGGCTAACGGCCAGAAATGAAGGCATAAAACTTCTGTACTGAGGAAGTCTTGCCATTGAAGGCGAGGCTCTGGTAAAAGGGGTGAATCTGGCACTACTGTATTGTAAAGTATGTGCTTAAAGGTGGGACTTGATTTAAGAATCTTCTGCTTAACTCACTCACTCTCTTTTGGAGATTGTTTAGCCTTTCCCAGCCTTTGTTGCAATACTTGCACCTCCAATCCCAGGATGTTTTGTTCACTGTAATGCTACTGAAGCTATAGTGCAATATAATGGAAAAGTCCATGAGATCAAGGATCCAAGAGCTGTATTTTGGCTTGATTCTGCTTCAAACTTCCTGTGTGATTTTAGGAAAGTCACCTTATCTGGACACTAAGGACTTGTGTTATCTGGCATTTAGAGTCCTCGCCAGTTCTAAAGTTAAAGACTATATGAGTAAATACCAAGGCCTTTCTCTCGCTCTTACAGAAAAAAACAAAAGCACCTTTCTTGGAGTGTGTTTGCTACAAGTTGGGGCAGCACTACTTCTTAATTTAGGCCAGAGAATGCAAGTTATAATATCCAAAATAATAATTTAATATTTAACATGCATTACATGCTTCCTATATGCTAGTAGCTGTGCTGTGCTAAATTCTTCAATTAATCCTCCCATTGTGAGGATGGTGTGATTATTACATTATTTTATAGGTGAGGAAACTAATGCTCAAAAAATCAGAAATTTGTCCCAACTCACACAGGTAAGTATGGCAGAGCTAGTATTAGAATCCAGGGATCCTGATTCCCAAACCTAGAACCTAACAAATAAGCAATTTCATTGTTCAAAATATCAGAAATTCAAGCTAATAGATGGGTTTTGGTTTTATGTATCAGAGGTTTCTGGAACATTGAGATTTGGTAGCCATAATTTAATACTTGTCAAAAAAATAATTTAACCATTATTTTATTCTTCTTTGTCTTCGTTCATTTAACAATACCTATTGATCTGCATTAATATTTCAAATTGGAAAAATGAAGTAATTGATCAGATAACTAATTCTAAGGAACTTGTTAATAATGAAAAGGGAAATAAACCATTCATGGGTTTAAGTTGAAGCAGGGAGGGAGCAGGTAGAGGCAGGTGGCAGGGTGGCAGTTGGTATATAAACTCTACTGCCCTAATTTTATATGTTTGATAGCTATACCCTTCTAATAAGAGGAAATCATCTTAGTTCTGCTTACAGAGGCAGTGAATTCAGTTTAAATTGTGTTTTCAGAGGTAGCCTAAAATGCAGAGGACAAAAACAATTTTTTAATTATGTCAGAATATTATAAACTCAAATTTTATTTCCATAGCTTTTGATATATTGGAAATAATCCAAGGGTAAACATCTAGCTTGACCAGCATCTTTTATATCAATAGCCATAGAATAAGGAAGGCCATTCAGATGTGTATGAAAGAGGCAAAGTTCAATGCCATTAATAGTCATATCTGGCATCCAAAGAATATACTCTTTGAGACTTAGAAAAAGAAAATAGAAACATCTGTGTAGTTCACTTTCAGGTGTTCAAGATACTCTTAGGATGATGTAGCCAAATGTGAGAAGCATTCACCAGGCAATGTATTTACACACCTTCCTTCTGCTCATTGTACTGAAATGCAGAGGGCATTTGTTCCATACCATTTCAAGGCAGAGGCCTTTCATTAGAGTTCTAAAAAATTTGTGTTTGTAATATAACCAGATAATAGCCCAATTTCTACTTTATTTTGTGGATATTTGGCCTGATTCTGACAGCGAGCAGGTTTTCCCTATTCCCATATATCCTTTTAATTTTTTAAGGTTTATTTATGAGCTGAAATCTTTTTTTCATGCTAATAATGTTTTATTTTCTTCTAGATTAAATCAATGTAATAAAACATTGTTCAAATCCTATGTGAAACAACTGGAGCCGATATAGTGCTATGAAGAACTATGAGAGTTAGTCTGGAGAGCAACCTATCTTCTAGAGAATAGATTTGACATTCCACTCTTTTGCAATGGTTAATTCACACAGAAAACTAATATTTAATGTTTATGTAGGATTTTACTGTACAGCAATCATCTTACCTAAAATATGCATTTGCTCTCGGTTCTCAATGCCATCTAGTGATCAGTTCAATCAGGACCCTGGGGCTTTCCCAGAGGCCACCAATGGAGAACCATTTCCTTGGCATGAGCTAAGGCTCCCCAACACGGTCATTCCCCTCCACTATGACCTTTTTGTTCATCCAAACCTCACCTCCCTGGACTTCGTTGCATCTGAGAAGATTGAAGTCTTAGTCAGAGATGCTAAGGTTTATTTATGAGCTGAAATCTTTTTTTCAGTGCTAATAATGTTTTATTTTCTTCTAGATTAAATCAATGTATAAAACATTGTTCAAATCCTATGTGACACAACTGGAGCCAAGATAGTCCTATGAAGAACTATGAGAGTTAGTCTGGAGAGCAATCTATCTTCTAGAGAATAGATTTGACATTCCACTCTTCTGCAATGGTTAATTCACACAGAAAACTAACATTTAATGTTTACGTAGGATTTTACTGTACAGCAATCATCTTACCTAAAATATGCATTTGCTCTCGGTTCTCAATGCCATCTAGTGATCAGTTCAATCAGGACCCTGGGGCTTTCCCAGCGGCCACCAATGGAGAACCATTTCCTTGGCATGAGCTAAGGCTCCCCAACACGGTCATTCCCCTCCACTATGACCTTTTTGTTCATCCAAACCTCACCTCCCTGGACTTCGTTGCATCTGAGAAGATTGAAGTCTTAGTCAGAGATGCCACCCAATTTATCATCTTACACAGCAAAGATCATGAAATCATGAATGCCACCCTTCATTCAGAGGAAGATTTGAGATACAGGAAACCGGGGAGACAGCTGGATGTTTTGAGTTATCCTGCTCACGAGCAAATTGCTCTGCTGGTTCCAGAGAAACTTATGGCTGACCTGAAATACTATGTGGCCATTGACTTTCAGGGCAAGTTAGCTGATGGCTTTGAAGGGTTTTATAAAAGCACGTACAGAACTCTTGGTGGTGAAATAAGGTAAGATGTCGCCCCAGCTATTTGCAGTCTCATGATACTTTCCTTATGTGTTAGACCTCTTTGCGAAGAGCATGTTTCAGCAATCATTTATGAAAAGCCCAATAAACTGTGGGAAAGGAAGCAGAAGGAGAAGCTCTGCTGTTTCTTAAGGAAATTGCAGTAAAGCTGGGAAGGAAGAATGCAGAGGCATAAACTGCTGGAGGGAGAGTAGCTGGGAGGAGAAGCCGGTGTGTTTGCGATAAGACAGACATGTTTATGTTCTGCAGGAAAGGATGCTCAGTGCAGAGAGCTGAAATAGGGGAGGATTCTTAAAGGAGGTGAGCCTTCATCTGGGACCAGAAGGGAATGTGAGATGTGGCCAGAGAGAGAGGAAATGAAAGTATGCAGTTTACCTAGGAACCAGCATGACTCAAATGCAGGAGGCAGGAGCAAATATGTTTGGAGAACTGAGAAATACTGTTTATTTGATCACCTCATGTTTATTGGCTACATGCTTTAGGCCTGGCACTGTTCTAGACACTGAATCTATAGTAGTGAGATATGAACGAGGTGATAAATGTTATGAAGGCAATAAACAAGGTGCTGTAATAGAGAGTAAGTCTAGCTGGGAGTTAGCTAAGTGGTCAGGGAAGTCCCTGTCAACGAGGTGCATTTAAACTGAGATCTGACTTTTTTAAAAAAAAAGGACACAATCATGAAGATGTAATAGAGCAAAGTGTCCCCAGAAAAGGGAACAGCAAGTGCAAAGTGGGACAGACTGAGAAAAGAAGGCCAGTGTGGCTTGAAGAGCATGAGCAAGAGAGAGAAGGAGAGTTGAAAGGGATGATATCACTTAATACCTCTTGTGAGGATTTTAGGCTTTTACTTTAGTGGAATGGGACTCACTGGAAGGTTCTGACTTGATCTATGCTTATAAAGTTCAAGTGCATGTGGAGGATCCATTATAGGGAGGAAAAAGTAGAAGAAGAGCAATCATTTAGGAGGACATTGCAGTAGTTCAGGCAAGAAATGGTGGCTTGGGCCAGGCTAGAGGTGGTGCCTTATGGAGTAAGTGATTGAACTTAGCATTTCTTTTGGAGGATAAAACAGACAGAATTTGCTAGAGGTAAGCGAAAGAGGTAAGAGAAAGAGAGGATAATTTGTCCAGAGCTGGGTCACCTGGGAGGGAAGAAGAGCCTGGCTCTCCTACCCTTTATCAGTTGTGTTCAGCTGCCAGTTAGAGGAACCCAAATACAGTGGCTCAACACATAGGGGGTTAATTTTCTTGTGAAAAAAATAAAAATAAAAATCCAGAAGTAGGGCAGCTCAGGCTTGCTACAGTGCTTCTCGGTGTTATCCAGGACCCAAACTCCTTCCATCTTTCTGCTCAGCCTCCCTTGGCATATGGCTCCCTTCCTAATACAAGATGATTTGGGCACCTCTGGCCTTCAAGTCCACATTCCAGGCAGGAAAAAAGGGGAATGGGGGAGAGAAAGGCAGAAAGAAGCATTCCAGCTGAGTCTGACTCCTTTCACAGAGCTTTCCCACCCGGTGACTTCAACTAGGCCACGAAACATATGCCTACCACGTTGCAAGGGAGTCTAAAGGGACATTGCCTCCCGGAACAAAATCAGGATTCTGATGGAATTGCAGAAGGGGAATATGTTAGTAGGCAACTTTAGCAGCATCTGCCACATACTTGCTTTTCCCTCCCCCACCTTAGGTACTCGTTGCCCTCTGGGGGCTCATGCACCCACCCCAGAGCCTTAGCAGTCCCCTTAGAACAGCCTTCCCCAGGCCCAGCTCTTTCCTCTGCTCCCCTGGGATGCTTCCCCTCATTGCAGCCTCAATTCTGAGGGGCCTGTTCTCAGGTCCAGTGTAGTGCTGAATAAAAAACTCAGCAACTTCTTTCCACTAGGGCGCCATGTGAAGCCTTTTCTTAAATGTGTTCAAGTGACCATGGCCCTACCCAAAGAAGATACTTTTTAAGGATATCATTTTGGGAGACCTGGGAGACTAGAGGGGGGCATTTTTGGGGGTAAGAGCTGGAGGACTTCCAGAATGCCTCCCAAGCCTGTGTAGTGCTGAATAAAAAACTCAGCAACTTCTTTCCACTAGGGCGCCATGTGAAGCCTTTTCTTAAATGTGTTCAAGTGACCATGGCCCTACCCAAAGAAGATACTTTTTAAGGATATCATTTTGGGAGACCTGGGAGACTAGAGGGGGGCATTTTTGGGGGTAAGAGCTGGAGGACTTCCAGAATGCCTCCCAGAATTAGCTGCAGGCTATTTCTGACTCTTATTATGATTATCCTGATAGCGTCTCCTTTACAGTCTGACTTATACAATTTCAGGCATTATCCAGGTGGTGTGATATAGAGATTTGTCTATGCTATAGCTCCTTGCCTCCAGTGGGGGGGAAACTTGAAGGTGGAGTTTCCTTTCCAGAGCTCCTGGGGATCAGGCTGAAGCTGGGACGTGGCCTGGCTTCTTCCTCTTCCCTGTCCTGCTTTTCTTACTCCCTTTTCTTTTGGCAGAATTTTCTTAATAAATCAGGGTCTGCTTCCTGGGAACACATCCTAAGTCATGACCCACAATTAGTCATATGTCTGGTTGAGATCCCAACAGGTTTAGAGATGGTACTGACCTGCTAATTTCCTAGTAAGTTTTGACCTCAAATTGACTAGACATGCATGCTTCTCTCAGCCACTTACTAGCTAAGGATTCAGGTAAGGTCACACCAATTCTCTGAGCCTTAAATCCTTGTCTGCTAGGAGAATGGAGGAGATCCTGTAAGTGGAGTGCCCAGCACCAGGCATTATTCACAATTGGCAGCCACTTAACTAAAAGTTACCCTCGTTTATTTGGGAAAAAAAAATAAAGCCTGGATTCTCAAAAATTATAGCTTGAGAAATCAAATATGTCACTTCCAGGATTGTTCTGAAGGCACAAATTCATTTCTGTCTTGGTCTCACTTATGTATTCTGGCTGGGGGTGGTTCTTTTCACAGAACAATCGCAGTGACAGATTTTGAGCCAACAGAGGCACGAATGGCTTTCCCTTGCTTTGATGAACCATTGTTCAAAGCCAACTTTTCAATCAAGATAAGAAGAGAGAGCAGACACATCGCACTATCCAACATGCCAAAGGTATTGCCACTTACAGAAACATTGGGGAATTATTCTTAAGTTGAGCCTTTGTCCTTGCTGTGTTGCTTTTAAAAATATTTTTTTCAAGACTTACAGTATTAATTTGTTTTATTGTACTTATTATTTAATAACCCCAATCCTTCTAGATTTTAACATGGTTTTGTTTGGGGCATTGTTACCCCAGAAGCTTTTTAACAAAACAAAACAAAGTGATTTACAGTTTCTTTATGTTCATATGGAAACATTGTTCTTTTAAATCAGTGTTACTTGGCCAGAGACAAAATTCAGAATCAAGCAGAGCAGTACTTCTCAAACTTTAATGTTCACATGAATCATCTGAGGACCTTGTTAAAATTCAGATTCGGATTCAGTCAGTCTTATGGTGAGGGAGGCCCCAGATTCTGTCTTGTTAACAAGCTCCCAGGTGACGGATGCCAACCGCTGCTGGGCCAGGGACCGCATTTGAATGGCAAGGATGGAGAGACCCCTACCCCAAATATTCTGACCTGGACTCCTGTGCTGGAACTTACAAATCCATTTTCATTTTTATAAGTCGCAGTGGTAGTTCTTAAAATTATGTATAAAAATTATTTATTGTGGTTATACACTTTTTTAATTTGAAAGAGACCTTTTATTTGGCTTGTATTTGTATTCAAAATGCAGAGACTCTGAAAGACACAGTGGACCTGAGCTAATTTGGTATTTCCTCACTAATGCTGTGCTTGCCATTTGCGTTGTGGAACAAAATGTAAAATGTTTCCCCACCCTGATTTGTAATGTAGGGCAAAGGTAGAGGCTCTCCTGACAGTGCTTCAGCGGAAGGGGCAGCACAGAAAGCAGCCGGCTCAGGGCCCTCCCCGCTGCCCTCTCGGCCCTGAACAGTGGCTGGACTCATGCGTGAACGGGAGAAATGAGTTCATAAGCTAGACCCTGAACTTCCCAGATTTCTATTTAAATAGAAAAAAGATATTTTCTCTGAAATACTGGCAGAGCAGATCCAGGGGAACATTGCACTTAACACACATCCTATAGCTTTTCCACGACTGTGAAGACAGCAATTTAATTAGCCCTCTCATTTTCAGGTGGAAATGCTTGCAAAGCATAGTGCAGTCTCTTTCCTGGCAGCTTTTTATTAATATGTTTTATATATGAATAACTATGGAGGCTAAAGTAAAAACAGAGTTCATAAAGCCTTTTCATTAAAGTGTGACACAAACATAAACTGCCATTTTGTTAAATCAGAGTTTAAATTTTCTATTTTTAGAAACCTCCAGTAACTTCTCATATTTAAGAAAAACAAGTGAACACTTTAAAATATTTCCTACAACCCTTGAATCTTTGCATTGCCTCAGTTGACTAGACTAGTTCTCTGGATCGTGCCATTTTCAGCAAATATTCGCTTAACATTCTGCTCCTCACTGACATGCCCAACATGTTTAGCCAAGAAAAAAAGGAGACCTAAAGTAATACCACAATCATACTCTCTGGATAATAACAGTGACAGCACTTAATATGGGTTATGGTCCGGTGGGAAGAAGCAACAAATACTAAGTTCTCGATTTGTTTAATTAAGAATACAAGATTTAAGGGAAGTGAGGAGGCCAGCCAAGCACTGGTAGAGGCAGCTTATCTTTGGGGCATTTCTTTGTCCTCTTCATTCCTTAAAGGAGCACACACCTGCTGGTGACACTTGCTGTGCAAGTAGAGTCCTGCCAGTGTTGAGAAAACAGCTAACTCCTCATCTAACACATAAAGCAACAAGTGTTTTATGCTTAAAACTTGCATCCCCATCCTGGATGAACTTATACTAACACCCATATGCTTCCACTTACGGCAATGTTAATCTATGAGTCACTCCAAGTTCCTGAACAAAACTCAGCCTCCATGGGGTACATCTTTATCTGAGGGAAAAATCAGAAGGAATGCCCATCTGTCTCCTACACACCATTGCTACCAGCTGTCTGGAGGCACGGCCGCTCATTTCCCCATAGTACCACAGCCTTGCCTCCTCTTTCCCTCACCCCTCCACACACCCGACTAAATGGTTTTGCTGCCGAGTTTGGTCAGAAGACTACAGTCAATGCTCGCTCATTTCCCCATAGTACCACAGCCTTGCCTCCTATTTCCCTCACCCCTCCACACACCCGACTAAATGGTTTGCTGCCGAGTTTGGTCAGAAGACTACAGTCAATGCCTTCTCTCTGGCCCCCTCTTCCATAACCCTCTTTTTTTGCTAGGAGTATGTATCCATAGAACTCTACTTGCATCAGACTCATAAAGAGATTATTATTGAGCAAAATGAATTTGCTGGAAAGAAGTAATTACATCCCAGAATATACTGCTAATTTTCTTAGAGTATGTGGTCAGTGTCTTCTGCTTTATAGGAGCTTAGGAACTGAATGCTTTGATAGACATCTGTAGAATTAAATTATGTAGAATTTAATAGCACAAACATTTGTTATCGAAGTAGGCTAGGCAGTTTATGGTAATATTTCAAACTATTGTCTCTTGCCAAAGCAAACTATAATCTTAACCAAACACATAAAACATGCTCAAGAAGGCCTGGTTCGCACGGCCCCAAGCCTGACACCTTGCAAAGGGGGGGTGGAAGGTTATGAGGAGGGGAGCAAGCTAGCCCAAGAGTTGTCACCAATTTGAAGAAAGTGGTATTTTCAGATTACTAAATCTGACCCATTCAGTATTTAGGGGTATTGGACTATATTGGAGATCATCTCTGGGACTAGCTCTTCAGTGCAAAGATAGAACTCAGTAATTATTCAGTGAATTTGAGAGATGCAGCTGATGAGTCTGTAGGCTTAAAACTTTTGCTACCATATTGGAGATCATTTCTGGGACTAGCTCTTCAGTGCAAATAAAGATAGAACTCAGTAATTATTCAGTGAATTTCAGAGATGCAGCTGATGAGTCTGTAGGCTTAAAACTTTTGCTTCCTCAGTACATAGACAAGAGCTTAAATTACTAATGACCTCCTTGGCCTGACTGCTTTCGTTGTGAAATCAATGAAGCAAAGATAAAAATAAGACTGTGACTAAAGCTGTCACACAGCGAGGTGAAAGAATGAGCAATGCCTTTGGAGTCACACGGTCACATCCACATCTTGGTCTTGCTGTGGAACTTGCCTTGTGATCTTGGGCAATTCAGTTCATATTTTTGAGACTCTGTTTCTTCACTTGTGAAATAACACCTACCACACACACACACACACACACACACACACACACACACACACACAC